CACACACCCTTCTCAGCCTCTGGTAACTATCATTCTACTCTCTACCTCCATCAATTCTTTTTAGCTCCCACAAATGAGTGAGAATATGTGGTATTTGTCATTCTGTGCCTAGCTTATTACACTTAAGATAATGTATCAAGTTTCATCGATGTTGCTGCAAATAACAACTTTCATCCTTTTTGTGGCCAAATAGTATTTCATTGTGTATATATGCCACATTTTCTTTATCCATTTGTCCACTGATGGACATTTGAGTCTATGTCTTTGTTATTGTGAATAGTGCTGCAATAAACATGAGAGTACAGGTATCCTTTGATATACTGAATTCCTTTCTGCTAAATACATACCTAGTAGTGGGACTGCTGGATTCTATGGTAGTTCTATTTTTAATTTTTTGAGAAATTTCCATATTGTTTTCTATGCTGACTATACTAATTTACATTCTCGCTAATAGTATATGAGATTTCCCTTTAACCTGCATCCTTGCCAGTATCTGTTGTTTTTTGTCTTTTAATGACAGTCATTCTTACTGGGAGAAGTTGATATCTCATTGTGATTTTAGTTTGTATTTCCCTGATGAATAGCAATGCTAAGCATTTTTTCATATACCTGTTGGCTATTTGTATGTCTTCTTTTAAGAAATGTCGGCCGGACGCCATGATTCATGCCTGTAATCCTAACACTCTGGAAGGCTGAGGCAGGAAAATCACTCAAGGTCAGGAGTTTGAAACCAGCCTGAGCAAGAGCAAGACTCCTTCTCTACTAAAAATAGAAAGAAATGAATTGGCCAACTAAAAATATATAGAAAAAATTAGCAGGCATGGTGGCGCCTGCCTGTAGTCCCAGCTACTCGGAAGGCTGAGGCAGAAGGATTGCTTGAACCCAGGAGTTTGAGGTTGCTGTGAGCTAGGCTGACGCTACAGCACTCTAGCCCAGGTAACAGAGTGAGACTCTGTCTCAAAAAAAAGAAATGTCTATTCATGCCCTTTGCCCATTTTTTAATGGGATCATTTGGTGTTTTTACTGTTGAGTTGTTTGAGTTCCTGTATATTCTGAATATTAATCTTTTTTTTTTTTTTTTAAGACAGAGTCTCGCTTTGTTGCCCAGGCTAGAGTGAGTGCCGTGGCGTCAGCCTAGCTCACAGCAACCTCAAACTCCTGGCTCAAGCAATCCTCCTGCCTCAGCCTCCCAAGTAGCTGGGACTACAGGCATGTGCCACCATGCCCGGCTAATTTTTTGTATATATATTAGTTGGCCACTTAATTTCTTTCTATTTATAGTAGAGACGAGGTCTCACTCTTGCTCAGGCTGGTTTCAAACTCCTGACCTCGAGCAATCCGCCCGCCTCAGCCTCCCAGAGAGCTAGGATTACAGGCGTGAGCCACTGCACCCGGCCTGAGTATTAATCTTTTGATGGATGAATAGTTTGGAAATATTTTTCCCCATTTAACAGATTGTCTCCTTATTCTCTTGACTATTTCCTTTGCTGTGCAGAAGCTTTTTAGTTTAATATAATCTCATTTGTCTATTTCTGTTCTTATTGTCAGGGCTTTTGTGGTCTTAGCCATAAAATCTTTGCCTAATCCATGTAATCAAAACATTTGTACCCCCTCAATATTTTGAAATAAAATATATATATTGGCTGGGCACAGTGGCTCATGCCTGTAATCCTAGCACTCTGAGAGGCCGAGGCGGGCAGATTGCTCGAGGTCGGGAGTTCGAAACCAGCCCGAGCAAGAGCTAGACCCCGTCTCTACTATAAATAGAAAGAAATTAATTGGCCAACTAATATATATACAAAAAATTAGCCGGGCATGGTGGCGCATGCCTGTAGTCCCAACTACTCAGGAGGCTGAGGCAGTAGGATCGCTTGAGCCCAGGAGTTTGAGGTTGCTGTGAGCTAGGCTGACGCCACGGCACTCACTCTAGCCTGGGCAACAAAGCGAGACTCTGTCTCAAAAAAAAATTAAAATTAAAAAATAATAAAATAAAATATATTTTTTATAAATCTTTGCCTAGACCAATCTCAACCATTTCCCCTATGTTTTCTTCTAGTAATTTTATTGTTTCAGGTCCTAGGTTTAAGTCTTTACTCCATCTTGAGTTGATCTTTGTATATGGTGAGAGATGGGGATCTAGTTTTGTTCTTCTGCATATGGATATCCAATTTCCCAGCAACATTTATTGTTGCTGTATGTTCTTTGCACTTTTTTTTTAAAATCAGTTGGTTATAAATATGTGAATTTATTTCTGGGTTCCCTATTCTGTTCCATTAGTCTATGTGTCTGTTTTTATACACATACCATGCTGTTTTGGTTACTATAGCTTTGTAATATATTTTGAAGTCAAGTAATGTCATGCCTCCAGTTTTGTTCTTTTTGCTCAGGATTTCTTTGGTTCTTTTTTGGTTCTGTGCGAATTTTAGGATTAAAATAAACTCATTTAAAGGAAAGAAAGAATTAAACCTTGGCTTAAGGAGCTCAGTACTCCTCAAACCAAATGGTGATGCTAATGAGGCTGTGTTAATTGCATCAGCAGCATTGACAATGGCAACAGTGGTCTCAGGATCAGATGATGGAACCCTCAGCATAGAAGACTTCAATGCATCAACTATAGCAACAGCATTTAATGGCACTTTTGATAACAGCAGCAATAAAGAGAGAAAAATAATGACTACCATTTAATAATCACCTACTAAGTTTCTGGCATTATTTTAGGAACTTTGCATAGGTTACCTCCTTAAAAAATCTCCACACTAATCCTATAAGGTATGTATTATTATTTCTGTTTTAAAGATAGGATAAGTAACTTGCCCAAGGTAAGTCAGTGTATTAGCAGAACAGCTAAGAACTGAAATCAGATGTCTGGCTCCAAAGTTTCTGCTTATCCGACACAAGAATCAAAGAAAATTGCCACCAAGAGAATGAATTTTCAAGGCCCACGTCAAAGTGACCTGGAAGTTTCATAACTGTTTAGCAAGGACTTGAGTGAAAGCTAGAGTTCCAACTGAATAGATTTGGGGAGCAGCCAGAAATTTTGCACCCATTATTATTAAACCTTAACCCCAGATTGGTGTAAAGCAGGGGTCCTCAAACTTTTTAAAAAGGGGGCCAGTTCACTGTCCCTCAGACCATTGGAGGGCTGTTGGAGAGTGCAGCACACATTCCACACATGCACATTGTGGGCCCAGGATGAGTCAGCTGCTAAGCAGGACAGGCAGTGGCGGGATAAATGTCCTCGGTGGGCCACATGTGGCCTGCGGGCCGTAGTTTGAGGACCCCTGGTATAAAGCCTGAAATGTAGAGATTACAATTTGATAGTTTCACAGAATCTTGATAACAGTGCTCTTTTTCATAACAGCATGAATGTGCACTGATGTCATCTTAATTCCATGGCAATAGTAGTACATCATAAGTTTTTCCTATAGAAAGTATCTTTTGATATACATTTTCATTTATATAATATTTTATGTACACAAAGAATTGTCACATGTGAGATTTAAAAGAGATAATAAAATAATTTTGTAAGGTAGAAAGGGCATTCAAAATTACTTCTCTTTTTACAACTCAGGAAACTGGGGCCGGGCGCAGTGGCTCACACCTGTAACCCTAACACTCTGGGTGGCCGAGGTGGGAGCATAGCTTGAGCTCAGGAGTTCGAGACCATCCTGAGCAACAGTGAGACCACGTCTATATTTTTTTAAAAGAAAAAAATAAAATAAAAAACCTCAGGAAACTGAAGTTCAAAGTTAAATGACATGAGCATTAATCCAAGTGCACAAAATTCAAAACATATTGAGCAAAACTCTGGGTATATATAAATGCAAATAAGACATTATACCTCTTCTAAAGAAGCTCATGGTCTATGCAGAAGAGGCAAAAACAAACATCTATAGTACAAAGTGGATAAATTTCTAATACCTCCAATTACATATTAACTTTAGTTACTGGATTATGCTGCTGAAATTCTCATTTTTCAGGGGCAAACTTAGAAAGAGACCTAACAAAGTATAAAGTTAAAATTGTCACTGATAATTCACTAAAACCTAAGTGAAACTATATTTTTCAAAATGAAAAAAAATTCAAGTTCACAAAAAATAGAGTTAAAAAAATAAAATTGGTTAGAAATAGAAGAAATTTGTTGTAGATTAAAAAGGCAACTATAAATACTCTTTAATGCAATCAGATTTACAATGGAAATACAAACCAGAAGTTACCTACATGGTTTGGGGGTAAAAACATATAAAACTGGATAAATTTTTCACTTAATAAAAACTCTTTATTCTATAGGCTAAAAGCAAAAAAGAAAAAGAAAAGCTTCAAGAGTTCAAGGCAAATAAAACTTTAAAAATCTAGTGGAATTTACTAATTGATCGTCCCTTAGCTTTTTTCTACAAATTCTTATTTCCAGTCCACAATTCTCTCCTAAAGCTTAAAACAATGGCAATTTCAGATTTGCATTCCTTTTATTGGCACAGTAAGCCACATTTGTTAGTGTAATTCAGCTATCTCAAATCATTTTTGTAAGAAATGTATTCAGCTATTCATTCAATAAATATTTATTGAGCACTAAGTGCTAGGTATAAAAATAGTAAATAGTATTGGATATAAAAATAGTAAATAAGATTGGATAAATGGACAGACAGACAGATGGACAAACAGGACAGAGAAGGAGAGAGGAATAGACTGATGTCAGGGGAATGGATTTCAATCATAACAGGAAAATAAACTGGGATATTGAAATAGTCAACTAAATTTTCATTAAGAGTCTGCATCCATTTTTCCAAAATACAAGAATGGTAACCAGTACTTTTGAAACCTATTATTAGCCATGGACTGCTGGTTCCAATAGCCATTCCAGCCACCAGGCAAGAAAAGTCAAAACAGCTATCAGAACCCATTTACCTCACATTTAGCAATAATATATTTATGGACAAAGAAGGAGGGTTCATGAGAATAAATATAGTATTTATTTTGAGTAAAGTTATCACAAAACATACCTTTCAGATAAAAAACAGCTCTTGTGAGGATTTAGATTTTGACAAGATTCTAGGCTGCGATCAGATGATGAAGAATGTTGCTTTGATTGCAAGTTGTCTGTATCACTCAAACTTGCCTCAGTTACAGGTGGGGTCGTTATGTATTTTCTTCCTAACTCCGTTCCCAGGACATTCGTCAATATAACTCTGGGTATCCTGTCACACAGAATAACAAACACTGTACTGTACTGAAGTTTTCAGTAAAAAAATGTATTCCAGGAAGTTGAACTTTCAAACATTGTCATCATAGCAAAAATAAGCTAATAGAACTATACAACCTAGAAATCAATCCATAAATACTCAAAATACAATTTTTTTTGTTTCTAGAAGTATTTGTTTCTTACAAATTATAGCATAGATTAACCTGTCACTATAATATCTTTAATTGCTTGAATGGTTGCTTTTAAGGGACTTGATATTTTAACCAATTTTTCTCAAAATGTTTTCTTTTTCTTTTTCAGCAGTTATTAAAGTCATAGATTACTATAAAGCAATTCAAAAAAATCTTCATTCTTCTCATTCAACAGAAATGTCCTTAATAAGTAATTCCATACTTCTAATTGGCAAATGCTAAGTCCAACAAGAAAAACATCATTCAGATGGCACCTATGGTGATAATGTATATGCTAATATATGACAGTATGAGGGGCTCAGTAAATCAAATGTTTAGGAAGTTAAAGCGTACTTTTAAAGCTCAAAACTTTTTAAGTTGGTGGGGTTTATATCAAATGTATTATATAAGCCTGATGTCTTCTTAAACAGATGAGCATAGTGTAACCTTTGCTTTGTTTGTCAACTGTTATATGAACAACAACTGATGAACTTTGTCACACTATAATAATGCACTCAATAGCACTACTTGGCCCCGAATGGACTGGTCCAAGCCAAATTATTATGATATTTTTAGTTCTTGTTCCTATGTTTTTAAAATTTTCCTAACTCCTCTTTATTAGAGACCTTCCTTAACTCTTCCCAATATATCACTAGCAGTACTTTGCTGATATTTTGTGAGAAACAACACAAATGTTTAGAAACAGCCTAAATACAGGCATATCTCACTTTATTGTACTTCACTTTACTATACTTCACAGATATTGCATGTTTTACAATGGTAAGTCGAGCAAGTCTATCAGTACCATTTTTTCCAAAAGCACGTGTTCATTTCATGTATCTGTGTCACATTTTGGTACTTCTCTCAATATTTAAACTTTTCCATTATTATTATATCTATTATAATGATCTGTAATCAGTGGTCTTCAATGCTACTATTATAATTGTTTTGGAGCACCAAAAACTGAGCCCATATAAGATGTTGACCTTAATTGATAAATGTTGTCTGTGTTCTTTTTTTTATTTATTTATTTTTTATTTTAGCATATTATGGGAGTATAAGTGTTAAGGTTATATATATTGCCCATGGCCCCCTTCCCCCTTCAAGTAAGAGCTTCAAGCGTGTCCATCCCCCAAACATTGCACATCTTACTCGTTTAGTTGTATATATCCATCCCCTCCTCCCCGCTCCCACCCTCCTGACACCCGATAAATGTTACTCCTATATGTCCACTTAGGTGTTGATCTGTTAATACCAATTTGCTGGTGAGTGTTGTCTGTGTTCTGACTACTCCACCAACAGACTATTCCCCCATCTTTCTCCCTCTCGTAGGGCTTCATTACACTGAGACATAGCAATATTGAAATTAGGCCACTTAATAATCCTTCAGTGATCTGTAAGTGTTCCTCTGTAAGTGAAAGGAAGAGTCACAAATCTCCCACTTTAAATCAAAAGCAAGGCATGATTAAGCTTAGTGAGGAAAACATGCAAAAAGCTGAGATGGCTGAAAGCTAAGCCTCTTGTACCAAAGTTAGCCAAACTGTGAATGCAAAGGAAAAGTTCTTGAAGGAAATTAAAAGTGCCACTCCAGTGAGCACATGAATGGTAAGAAAGCAAAACGGCCTTTTTGCTGATATGGAAAAGGTTTTAGTGGTCTGGATAGAAGATTAAACTAAACACAACATTCCTTTAAGCCAAAGCCTAATCCAGAGTCAGACCTTAACTCTCTTCAAATCTATGAAGATTAAAAGAGGTAAGGAAGCTGCAGAAGAAAAGTTAGAAGCTAGGACAGATTGATTCATGAGGTTTAAGGAAACAAGTCATCTTTGGAACATAAAAGTGCAAGTAAAGCAGAAAGTGCTGATGCAGAAGCTGCAGCAAGTTACTTACAAGATTAAGTTAATTGATGAAGTTAAGTAAGTTAATTGATGAAGGTAGCTACACTAAACAACAGATTTTCAGTGTAAACAAAATAGCCTTCTTTAGAAGAAGATACCATCTAGGACTTTCATAGCTAGAGACAAGTCAATGTCTAGCTTCAAAGGACAGGCTGATTCTCTTACTAGGGGCTAATGCAGTTGATGACTTTAAGTTGAAGTCAATGCTCATTACCACTGTGAAAACGCTAGGGCCCCTCAGAACTATGATAAATCTACTCCGTGTTCTATAAATGGAATAGCAAGGCCTGGGAGTCAGCATATCTATTTACAGCATGGTTCACCGAATCATTTTTTCTTTTTCTGAGACAGAAACTTGCTCTCTTGCCTGGACTTGAATACAGTGGCATCATTGTATAATCATAGCTCACTGCAACCCAAACTCCTGGGCTTAATAAATCTTCCTGCCTCGCCTCCTGAGTAGCTGGGACTATAGGCACACATCACCCCACCCAGCTAATATTTCTATATTTTTTATAGAGATGCGGTCTTGCTCAGGCTGTTCTCAAGCTCCTCCTGCCTTAGCCTCTCAAAGCGCTAGGATTACAGGCGTGAGCACCAAACCTGGCTGGCTTACAAATCTTTTAAACTTACCTTTGAGAACAACTGCTCAGGAAAAAGACTCCTTTAACCCTCTGCACTCGCTTTTTTCTCAATTCCTTTATTCTACTCGGGATTTAATTTTTTAAATACCCCAGATTTTACAAAGCGCAGCAGTAGAATAAAAACCTGGAGTTTCTTCTCATACAAACTTATTTATTTGGATTTTTTTATATTTCAAATTATTGATACATTCAAAGAGTAATTTTAATCTCTATAATTTTTGCTAACCGTGTTGAGTCACACATGACATCCGAGTGCAAAAGGTTAAAAATATTACTGTACATTGACAATGCACCTGATCACCCAAGATCTCTGATGAAGACGTTTAGGGAGATTAATGTTTTCAAGCCTGCTAACACAACACCCGTTCTTCAGCTCATAGATAGAGTAATTTGAACTTTCAAGTCTCATTATTTGAGAAGTACATTTTGCAAAGCTATAGTTGACATAGTGATTCCTCTGATCTGGACAAAGTAAATTCAAAACCTTTTTGAAAGGATTCACCATTCTAGATGCCATTAAGAACATTCATGATTCATGGGTAGAGGTCAAAATATCAATATTAACAGGAGTTTGGAAGAAGCTAATTCCAACTCTCATGGATGACTTTGAGGAGCTCCAGACTTCAGTGGAAGAAGTAACTGTGATGGCCGGGCGCGGTGGCTCACGCCTGTAATCCTAGCACTCTGGGAGGCCGAGGCGGGCGGATTGCTCGAGGTCAGGAGCTCGAAATCAGCCTGAGCAAGAGTGAGACCCGTCTCTACTATAAATAGAAAGAAATTAATTGGCCAACTAATATATATAGAAAAAATTAGCCGGGCACGGTGGCGCTTGCCTGTAGTCCCAGCTACTCGGGAAGCTGAGGCAGGAGGATGGCTTGAGCCCAGGAGTTTGAGGTTGCTGTGAGCGAGGCTGATGCCATGGCACCCACTCTAGCCTGGGCAACAAAGCAAGACTCTGTCTCAAAAAAAAAAAGAAGTAAATGTGGTAGAAATAGCAAGAGAACTAGAATTTGAAATGGAGCCTTAAAATGTGACTGAATTGCTGTAATCTCATGATAAAACTGAAACAGAAAAGGAGTTTCTTCTTATGGGTGAGTAAAAAAACTGGTTTCTTGAGATGGAATCTACTCCTGGTGTAGGTGCTGTGAACATTCTTGAAATGACAACAAAGGATTCAGAATATTATATAAACTTAGTCAGAAAGGGAGTGGCAGGGTTTGAGATTATTGACTCCAATTGTGAAAGAAGTTCTACTGTGGGTAGAATGCATCAAACAGCATTGCATGCTACAGAGAAATCTTTCATGAAAGGAAGAGTCAATTGATGCAACAAACATCATTGTTATCTTATTTTATGAAACTGCCACAGCCAACTCAACCTTCAGCAACCACTATTCTGATCAGTCAACAGCCATCAACATGGAGGCAAGTACCTTCACCAGCAAAAAACACTATAAATCACTGAAGGCTCAGATGATTGTTAGCATTTTTTAGTATTAATAATAATATATTTTAAATTAAGGCATGTACATTTTTTAGACATAATCCTATCATACACTTAATAGACTATGGCATAGAGTAAATGTAACTTTCGTATGCACTGGGAAAGCAAAAAATGCATGTGACTCATTTCATTGCAATATTTGTTTTATTATGGTGGTCTGGAACCAAACCTGCAATATCTCCAAGGTATGCCTATATTTTTGTTGGGTGGATTCACTGTACTTTGTTACATTTGTTGTCTTACTTAGAGGTATTCTATTTTCACTACATAAAGGCACTATATTCTTTTCACTATGTTCCAGACAGCACAAAATTTCAGACCTTCAGAGAACTTTAAAGTAAATTTGTACATTCATTATTTTAACATGAAGAACCCAAAGTTCAGAAAAATTAAATGGGCTGGGTACAGTGGTTCACTCCTGAAATCCCAGCACTTTGGGAGGCTGAGGCAAGAGGATCACTTGAGGCCAGGAGTTCAAGAACAGCCTGGACAACATACTGAGACCCTATCTCTACAAAAAAACTTTAAAAATTATCTGGGTGTGTGGTGTATGCCTAGAGTCCTAGCTACATGGGAGGCTAAGGCAGGAGGATCACTTGAGCCCAAAAGTTTGAGGCTATAGTGAGCTAATGATCAAGCCCTTATACTCTAGCCTGAGCAACAGAGCGACACCCTGTCCCTAAAAAAGAAAAAAGAAAGAAAAAAGAAAAAAAAAGAAAATCAAATGATTTGCCTAATAAGTAGTTCTTCCTAACGAAAGACCCTGGGCCTATTATCTTT